ATGTGTTCTCTCTCATTCTCTCTCTCTCAAATAAATAAATAAAATCTTAAAAAAAAAAAAATGTACATACCCTAATTTAAAAAGTACTTTATTGCTAAAAAAAAAAATGCTAACCATCATCTGAACTTTCAGGGAGTTGTAATCTTGCTGGTGGAAGGTCTTGCCTCTACATTGATAGCTGCTGATTGATCAGGGTAGTGGTTGCAGAAGGTTCAGATGGCTGTGGCAATTTCTTAAGACAACAATGAAGTTTTCTGCATCTGTTGACTCTTCCGTTTCACAAACAATGGCTCTGTAGCATGCAATGCTGTTTGATAGCATTTTACCCACAGGGGAAGTTATTTCAAAATTAGAGTCATTCCTCTCAATAAGCAGTAATATTTTGAAAGGAATTTTTTTTTTCCTGAGCAGATCTCAACAGTACCTTCATATTCAGTAAACCATATTGTAAACAGATGTGCTGTCATCCAGGCTTTGTTGTTCCTTTTATAGAGCATAGCAGAATAGATTTAGCATAATTCTTCAGAGCCCTAGGATTTTCAGAATGGTCAACGACTTTGGCTTCAACTTAAAGTCACCAGCTGCAGTAGCCCCTAACAAGACAGTCCGCCTGTCCTTAAAAGCTTTGAAGCTGGGCATTGACTGCTCCTCTCTAGCTGTGAAAAGTCTGGATAGCATCTTCTTCCAATAGAAGGCCGTTTGTCTGTATTGAAACACTGTTGTTTAGTGTAGCCACCTTCAGTAATGATCTTACCAAGATCTTCTGGATCACTTGCTGCAGCTTCTACAACTGTACTTGCTGCTTTACCTTGCATTTTGATGTCATGCAGATGGCTTCTTTCCTTAAACCTCATGAACCACCCTCTGCTAGCTTCAGACTTTTCTCCTGCAGCTTCCTCACCTCTCTCAGCCTTCCCAGAATTGAAGAGTCAAGACTTTGTTCAGGATTAGGCTTCGGCTTAAGGGAATGTTGTGGCTGGTTTGATCTTCTATCCAGACCATTCAAACTTTCTCCATATCAGCAATAAAGCTATTTCATTTTTTTATCATTTGTGTGTTCACTGATGGAGCACATTTAATTTCCTTCATAAACTTTTCCTTTGCATTCACAACTTGGCTAACTAGTGAAAAAAGCCTAGCTCTCAACCTGTCTCAGCTTTCAACATGCCTTCCTCACTAAGGTGAATCATTTCTAGCTTTTGATTTAAAGTGAGAGATGTGTGACTTTTCCTTTCACTTGAACACTTCGAGGTCACTGTAGGGTTATTAATTGGTCCACTTTCACTATTGTTGTGTCTCAAAGACTAGGGAGGCACCTAGTAGGGGGAGAGAAATGAAGGAACAGCTGGTCAGTGGAGCAATCAGAGCAGACACAACATTTA